AAATTTATTGAAAAATCCTCGAACCTTAACTCCTGCCTCCTGCACCATATGGACCAGTACCTCGCACCATCGGATTACGACTTATTGAGATCTATGGCCCATTTTGTTCAAGTGAAAAAACTGGGTGACGGTCATCACAAATCAGCATGGGATCTAGCAATTGGCTAGTGGATGGCTAATAACGGTAGATAACAATGGATTATAATTTAAGTATTAATTGTATTTTATATCAAAGAAATAATAATTCAAATATTTGGTTGAAAAACGGTAAGTGATTTCAAAATCAAACAATTAAAAAATATAAGAACAATGTAATTCAACAATATAAGTACATAATCCAAACAAAACTAACGCTAATGCTTTTTAATATTGTTTTGGTGTATATTTCCTCTTTAAAAAAGTTTTAAATGATAATGCCCAGGTACTCATGACAGTGCCATAAATAATACAATAACTGATATCACGTGTACAATTGCCCTACAATTTTCATAAACTATGGTAATAAAATATTGCCATTATTGGGAATCAATATGATTCAGCATTGCACGCAAACGTTCTTCCAAATATTTTGTTAGGACATTAAATTCTACAAAACGTCCATGATTATGTTTTCTTTCCTCCAGTGTCTGTTGAATGTTAAAAACTCTGTTAAATCAAAGCTTAAATTACGTCTGACCGAAATGTGAACTTTTTTGTTCTTTAAATTGTGAATTAAAGTTTTGGCATGTTAAAGCCCTTGACACTTTTTAAAACAGGAATATAAAATAGAAGGACGTTTTGGAAAACACAAATTCTAAAAAAAAAAAAAAAAAATATTTAGTCATAATTTATGTGAGTTTTATTGTAATGTAAATCTTTCAAGTTTCTCTTCCTGAACTCTTTCAATCGTTTGAATTTTACAATCTAATAAAAAATTGTCCCTGGCCTGGTTCATTATTTAAAAAAAAAGAAAAATATATATAAAATTATTCATGCTGTCGGCCGTTTGCATAATGCCTTATATCTTAAGATTTTATGATTTTTTTTTTTTGTCTTTTACTTCTATTAAATATCCGTCCCCAATTATAAAAGCCTAAACCAATCTCGTTTATATTGTTGTCTTACTTCTTCATTTTTTTTTCCGTTTTATATTACTGTCTCTTTTTTAATTTTTGTTATTTTTTTTCATAGTATTGGTTCTTTTTAAATGCAATCTGCCATCTTTATAGATGGTTTACATTTTTAAACTAACCTTCCTTCTATGGCGAGATTTGTATTCTGGGGGTGTCTAAGTCTTTATCTTTAGGAAATTTAAATTTCAGTAATCTTTTAATTTAGTAAGCCAAACATTGGTACTCCGAACGCTTCCATAATCCGAAATAAAACAAAAACAATAATAATGAGTAGAGGAATAGTTTATGAACGTAATTTTAATTTAAACAAATTTTAACACAAACAAACCAATCTTTACACGCATCTTTTCTATTATTATTTCTGTGAATACCTCATATTCGTTTATAAAAACGGAATGATAATTAAAGGAACTTAAAGACGCAGTGTCTCATTCAATCAGTGTATTTAACAGGAAACTGTGAATATGTCGTAGGGACAACTGTTCACACATCTAAAAGTAAGAAATTCCTTTAAATAAAAAAATAAAACAAATAATAAAAAAAGGAAGGGGATGGTCCGGGGTGGCGGTAATAAATAGGCTAAATAGTGGCAAAACTATTTTATTAAAAGCTAACGTTTCGATCTGACTTAGCAGGTCTTCTTCAGGTAGGTGTGTTCAGCTTGGTAGTTTCACCTAGAACTCTCCCTGAAGAAGACCTGCAAAGTCGGTTCGAAACGTTGGCTTTTAATAAAATAGTTTTGCCACTATTTAGCCTATTTATGACCACCGTCGCGGACCATCTTCCTTTATAATGCAACGGTCAACTATTAAATATTCAATATAAATAATAAAAATTTTCAATATTTTATAATCAGTTTTAGTTTTTTATTAAATCCATAAATATAACACGAAACTTTATTTATATTAATTTTTTTTTAAATAGTTTTATTGCTACTGAATAAAGAAAGATTGTAGTTGGAATTTAATTTAGAATAAAAACAACAACATATATTTGCCTATAAATATCGAATAAATGTTTTTATGATTTTATTCAGTATAATGATTATATTATGTGGTTCAATTTATTATAATCATATAATTATTCTATCTTGATCATTCTGTTTTTCCGACAAATATCATATTGTAATTACTTTTTTAAAATAATTTATTATATTTTGATTAATATTACTTAAATTCATATTAAGTGTTTGTAGGTGCTATTGATTTAGATAAGGTAAAATTAGATGCAGTATAGGCTTTATTTATTTCTTTATTTTTAATTATTCGTTGGTTTACTGTTTTCTTTTGAGGTATTTATATTCTTATAAATATCTTATATCCTGGATTTTTTATTCTATAGATGAACGATATTTTCTTTTCGATACTTGATTTTAAAAACCAGTTTCCCTTTTCTTTTATGAGTTCCAATTAGAATTTTAAAACGTTTTAAATCTTTAAGATTAGGCCCCGTGTCTTTTATAGGATAAGATGTCAAACTGCGGTAATTATTCATCCGCGACAGAAGAACACTCCGCTATAAGATAAGAAGGCAAATTTCTCTTTGGCTACAAATTTAAAAAAAAAATAAATAAAAAACTTGCCCTGTACTACTCAGTAACGAGATCCGTCCTTAAAGAGCCCAAGCCAGGCCCCGCGAGACTAGCGACTACTACTGAATTAGGAAAAAGCTCTCAAAAGGAAATGGAATAAAAAATTTGTTCCAAAGCCCGACCTTTACTTAACATCTGGAAAAGGTCACTTTTCCAATTTGAATGTTGATATACCAGCAAGAGAGGCTCTTTGGAATATAGTTTACAATTCTTGATGTTGCTCGGGTTGGATCTATCTAAATTTATACAGTATTTATAGACTTGTATATAAACCCTATCTGAGTGGTATGTCAACATGGTCACTGTTTAGTTTCAGAATATTTATTTATTTTCTGATTTAGATAAGTTAGGTAACGCAAAAACCGAAAGGTAAACATGAAGATTTAATATATATATATATATATATATATATATATATATATATATATATATATATATATATATATATATATATATATATATATATATATATTATATGTATAGACTAAATTATTTATAGTTTAGTTGTAAATACTGAGGAAAACTTTAAAATATTTATTTTTATTTTGTTAACAGTTACAGACCTGTAATTTTTGAAATGTCTATTATTTATTTGTTATTATTCCTTTTAGTATTTAAATATATTTGTGGATAATAAAGAAAATAAAAATATGTTCTAGTATATGTACATTCCATGTTTCAAGAAACTAAATTAATAAAATAAATTACCTTTAAACATTAATTAATCTTTTAATGATCTCGACAATTATATAAAATGATCCCTCAATGATCTTAATTAATCAACTATACTATAATGTTTGATAATATTTGTTAGATCCATAGAATTTCAGAACTTTATTGAATCACTTGCACCAAATAAAATACCGTTATCTGATTTTTGTAATTGATTTTATTCGTATATAATTACTTATCACTCTTCAAAGATGTTTTTGTCGGTCCACATCTCCGTAATATTTCATCAAAACTAAATGTAACCCCTAAAAGTATAAAGTTCATGCTTCATTTTCACTGTTCATTATTTTGAAGGTAATTAAATTAATTAATTTAGAGAAATAAATAAATAAATTTGGATTATTTGTTTATTGATAAATTTTACAATCAGTCTCAATAAAGGACATTTATAATAGAGTTCTGAGAGCACATTCACATCATATTTACAAATTAAAAAAAAAAAATCTAACTTCAAATAATATAAAGCTATAAAAGAACAAAATATCATAGTGAAGGAAGAAAATATTAATAATAGTAATAATAGAATGAAAATAAATGAATAAAATAGAATTAAAATTATCTTAGAAAAAAAAAAGTATTTTTTTTGATTTGTTACAATAAATTAGGCCTTTGTTCACCAACATTTTTTTATTACGCATCAATTTAACGTTTCGACCATACTAAGGGTCATTTTCTAAACTGGAAAATTATAATAACATTATTAGTTAATATTCAGCATTTATAAAATGAATTTCTTATTACATTTAATTGAATTGTCTAACGTTCTATGTCAAATTATTTCCGATATACTTAAATTTATATAAAAATATACATAAAGTATACACTTTTTATTTAAAAAAACCCTTACATGTACGTAACTATAACCATTAAAACTCTAACAATTAAAAACAAATGACTATTACCTTGATGAGTCCTCCTCAATTTTTAAATTGATGCGTAATAAAAAAATGTTGGTGAAAAATGGCCTAATTTATTGTAACAAATTAAAAAAAAACCTCAAGACACCAAAAGTAGGAAAAATGAACAGAAGAAAAAAAAGCAATGAAAATAAATTTAGAAACGAGACATAAATAAATATTGAAATTGCGCTATTATTAGCAACTCATGTTATGTTTCATCATTTTTAGTAATAAACTGTTTTTTTCTAATTTAATTTATTTCACGAAGGACCGTTTGAAGAAGTTTTATTTTTATTTAAATAATTAAGACGCTCAAGATTGTTTAAACGTAGAAGGTTAAAAAGATATATAGTTTATAATATAAAAATATGAATCTACTTTAAAAAATATATATGATTGATGATTTTAACAAAAAAAAAAAAAGAAAGAAATTAAATATTACAATTAATTAATTATAAATTTATACATTTTAAAAATAGAATTACACTTGACATCGCTGTTTATTATTATTGTTTTAAAAATAATTAGATTTATGTGCACTTCATTTAAGAACACGTGCTTGATAAGTTGAACTGTATATTTTTCATCCTTTTTTATCTCAGTGCCTAGTAATAAAACTAGTAATGTATATACCCTATTGTATAAGAACGTTTCCGGCTGACGCGTTTAGTTCCGGACGAGTTGATCTAAACGACCTGCACGTAAGGAGTCATTATGCAGTTCCGGTACACGCGGCTTCTGCCTCCTGTTAAATGCATTTCTAATTGTCCATCGGTTACATGGTATTTCAATTAAGATTGTGTTATCTCCATTGTTTTCAGTAGCAGTGTAAAATATATGGCTTCGGCATCGTATATTAAAACCGTTTTAGCTAAGTAGCCTACAAATGATGCTATTGTCACGTTATTATGGAGATACATAAATTAGTATAACAAGATTGATAGGTGGTTAGTATTTTTTTTTTTTTTTTTTTACTTCCTCAGTTATTAAAAGATAAAATATAAAAAAAATAATACTTTTTGTTGTTATTTATACATATATAATATATGTTCTAAATAGGCATTGTAATATTATTAAATATTGTAATATCTTATAAAAAAGTTGGCTTTATGTAATAATGTACTAATTGTAATAATTGACAAATGTAATAATTGTCAACTGAAATACAAAAAAGTTATATATATATATATATATATATATATATATATATATATATATATATATATATGAGATAGAGGAAATAACTTTTTTGTATTTCAGTATATATAGATAATTCAATCCAAATGTGAAATAAATAAGACATATCTTCACCCATACTTGAATTGCTGCTCACACTTTGTGAAGGAAGTAATAATTCAAACCCCCTGACAAATACCCGCTATAAGTCTCCTTAAAACAGAAAAATCAACAGATTACCTTGAAAGTTCTCCAGAATTTATGGGCGCTCCAGTTTCCGCTCCAGAATTTACGGACACTTGATCATAGCCGCAATGGTCTGGAGGCGCTGGAAGACAAGACAGCCCCAGCTGTAGTCCAACCTTTCACCTCTTAAGCTGCTTACGTTGACAGTCCTAGTATCGCGCTAATAATTGCATACCTCCTAACTTGATGCTCTACCAAATCCGTCTGTTATCAATAGTGCTAAATATCAATATTTTCAGATTTCAAACATTTCACAGGATTTTTAGAACTTATGGTAGTTAAATTTAAATATTAAAAACAATATGTTCATAGCTTGTACATATCTTGAGAAAATCTCATATTCGGCATAATATGATTTCTTCTCTTTTTGATTTTTCTATGCTTTTTGCACTCCGCTTTTATTTATAATAATTAAGATTGTTTTGTTTTCCTGTAGTTTTCCCAGTTTTCTAATAACATTTTTTTTTACTCCTGTATCCAATCTTCTACTGTATTCTGTATACCTCCATCATTGCAGTTATTTTTTATATCTCTATCTTCCTAGCTAAATGGGAAGTTTGATATCCTTTTTCATTGCCCCAAGATACCGTTGCCATTACCCAAGATACTATTGGTTGGAATCAAGAAAAATACAACACGGAACACTCTATTTTCCATCTCTCAGTATACGTTTAATATTTCTCTAATTAGCAAGTTACTTGTCCATGAGTTACTAATCACGAAGACGCTATTGGAATTGTTGTTAAGATCCACTCTCTTTAGAATTTAATATCCAAGAGAGGATCTTCATGATCGCAGTTGCTTCTCCAGTGAATATGGAGCCCTCCTCTAGTAAGTTAAACAAATTAAATTAAACATCAAATTTGGATGGCTTAGAAATAGTACCTACTAACTGCCAAAAAAAGGAGATTTTTTTTTAAGTCATAAGTATAATGAAACTACATCCTATTGATATTCCTCGCCTTTAAGGCTGTACGGTGTTTTCCCGAGCCAGGGAGGGTGGACGGGGGTTACATCCTATTGACTGGTGAAAGACAAGACTACTATCTAAAAAAAAAAAAAAAACGAATATGATGATAGCTGGTGTCGAATGAGTGATCAACTTTCCTGATGATAATTCCTTTCATCATAAATCGAGAGCAATGTTGTTGTTTTTTTTTAATATTCCTTAGAGGCATAATTCACAAAACTCAGAACTAATGCTCAATATTTATTATTTATTTTTTAAATATTTTTTTCCTTCAATTTTATGTAGTAGTGGATAGCATTGGCTATATTAAGTTGTTGTTTCTTGATTGCACTATCGTAATCTCCCTGTACAATTCAAGAAATTTTACTGTTTCTAATTGGAACCATTGTAAACCTTGGTTGTTTCTATTTGAACTTTAATCGTCGTCAGGTGTCAATTTCTTTTTTATCTCCGTTTCTTGGTTCATGGATGAGAAATAAATTGATTATCTCATATAAAAAAAAAAAAAATGGTCAGCTATGAATTATACTCTAAGATAAGAAAATATTTATTGGTCACTTACCTTTGATGACTTTTCTAATTTTCACGAATAAAGGCTCATTTCCAATTCCAAGTGTTTTTGTTACTATCTTTAGGTATACTCGTATTATATTATATACCCTTCCGCCGCCGCATGAGTGTAAGCTAATCGTTTCGGGCCAGCTGTGTGCGCGGAGCGGAAGTCCTGTATGGCGACTCGAAGACATCCTGACGTCATATCCTTCCCCTACCAGTTCCCCGCTACCGCCATAATAAAACCGGCAATTTTTTTTTCTTTGTTTTTCCTCGTGCTTTCCTTCGCCCCCTCCTATCTTGTGCTCTCTCTCCCTCCTCTCTTCCTCTCCCTCTCCACCTACTTTAAATTGGGACCATTATTCATCCCGGACCCTTGGCGCCGTAGTTAGCCAATCAGGTTGGGCTTAATAATTCTCGCCTTTGTTTTCCCTTTGACCGTCCAGTTAGGTCCCGTAACATGTTACCGACGAATTTATCGAAATATTCTTTTTTGTTACTCGGTATCTTAAGGAACGATTTCTTGACACGCTCGTTGAATAATATTAGAAAGTGCTAAAAAAAAAATCTATATTTTAATGAGCAAAAAAAAAAAAAATTTAAATCTTGTAAATTTTTTATCGCACAAATTACATTATAAAGAATATAAAAACTATAAGTAACCAAATTTATGGAATTACTTATAAGAAGGTTTTTTTTTGTTGGTTGAATTTTATTTATTTTTAACCAGTTTTTAATATTAACATTGGTACATAGTTCGAATTGCTGTTATGATATTTTTGAATTTCGTTATATAATTCGACTCATTATTTTTCTTTAAGACTATTTTTAATATTCTTTGTTTATTTTTATTTTTCACTTAAATTTAAACTAATATTTTATTATTTTAGTAATATTAAATTATTTGAATTAAAATTGGTTAAAAAAATAAAAAACAATTATTTCATATCCTAATCGTATTAACTGTTATGTGTAAATTCAATTACAATGTCCTGTGAAAACAGGATATATAGGAAACGATACGTCCAGTACTTACCTAATGTTATTTTTTTTTTTTTGTTTCAGGTATGAATTTTTACTACTTCTACTAATTGATCAATTTAAAGAGGTAAATTTAAATTTTGATTTTAATTTCCATCTTCTTTGTTTGTAGTTTATAGGATTTGACCCTATGTTAATACACGTTTTTTAAAAAAATGTTTAAAAAATATATGCAATGCATAATTAAAAGTATTCATGCCACGAAAATATTGATATATTAATCGGTATTCAAGGCATACACCTCCGAATCATGGGCCATTAATCATGACAGTTAAATGCAAATGCTTCTGAAATGGATTCTTGAAGGAAGGCAACTTATAAATCTAGACGGAGTTGAAATGAAATAATAATAACAATAATAGAGTTCTCACATCTATGAATGGGAAAATGTTGATTAGTTCGATAAATGACATCTGACATTTAATTGATATTCGACTGTGTGAGGAAAAAGGTGAAAAGGAAACCCCAAAAAAAAAATGAAATGATGAAGGGAGAAACAGAGATGAAAGAACAAATCTTGATTATAGAAAAAAAAAGGGATGGAGAAAGAAAATAAACTGACTTATATTTATAACATGTACCACACTACTGACCATGAAGGGTTCAGTACTATTTAGGGAAAGTACTGTTTCAAGGACAACGGTTATGCAAGAAGAACATCTGGCCAGGATCACGCTCAACCGTCAGGATTTCCCTCTTAATTAATTATTTAATTAAGGGTACTCACTTTATAGAGGCTGGGTGTGCCCCAGAGGGTCTCCGTACCCCAGGCTCGCCCCACAGCCTATGAACAGAATAAATAATTTTTTTGCCATGAGTCGGGATTCGAACCTGGGACCTTCAGCATTGAAAGCTTCGTTCCCTACCACTGATTTAAAATATAAAATTATATTAAATATCACTATTGCTTTATATTCTAAATATGATCGAAATTATATTTAAAATAAATCTACAAAGGAAATTTTCAATTGTCCTGGATTAATAATAACATTAAATAATAAAAGATTATTAACGAAATCATTGGTTAAGAAATTATATATTATCCATCTGTTGGCCACCCGTTATTAGGCCCAATGCATGTGTTCAATTATGGTCCCAAGTATAATAGCCAGGTTTCCATCCGCTTTTGGTGGTTAAAGAAAACTTTATGTCAGCTGTAGTTTTTTTTCTTTTTTAAATTTATTTATAAACTATAGTTTGGTTATTTTGGAGCATGGGTAACAATGTTATCAATTTTACCAACCTGTGAATAAATTTCATCCGAAATATTCTAAATCCTATTTCTTTTGATTGTAGTTGAGTTATATTTTAAAAAATTTTTACGAAAATAATTTATAATAATAAAACGGTCTTTATATTATCTTTATTCCTAAGTTGAATTTTGTTTCTGCATCAATTAGTTCAGACATTGTTTTGGTTTGTTTTATTAAAAATACAATTTAAAAAAAAATATTATGCTTTCTATAATAATTAAATAATTATATCCAATAATTATTGGTACAGTATTTTCTCTAGCCTTGCAATCTATGAAAAGGCAAAATCGCAAAATGTCGTTTTCTTTATTAATTCTCAAATGATACAAGCATGGGATTTATATATAATTTTAAATCAGTGATTAAAAAACACACTTTTTTTGCTCCTTTTAATTACATTATTAATAAATTATGTTTTGAGTATATATATATATATATATATATATATATATTTTTTTTTTTTTCCAATAACATTTCAGAACTTCACAATATTTCACATTGAACTAGCTCTTTTTACTATATTTAATTATATGACTCCTGATAAAATGTTAATCTATTACCCATCAGCACTGCCAAATGGAAATACAAAAAAAAGTTTTCTGGCTTTAGAGACTTTATTGATGTCATGAAAAGTGTTTTATTGCACTGATCATAAAAATTTTACTTAATGAGCTGAAAAAAAAATCAGTAATATTCGTGTGATAACTAGACCTTTAACTAGCACGGAAAGTTTCGGTAAAAAATCTTCATAAAATAGTACCAGGTCTTTAAAGGGAAAAAACTGTAGATCTATGATTAATGATTACGTTTTATTCAACCTTTTGGAATTTTATTATGAAAACCATACAATTAATTTTAATTAATCCCCTTTATAGCACAATATTTTATAAAAATTTTGAATTTTCCTGATACTATATACTATGAGTATTTTGTGTATGGTAGGTTGTATTATATCATAGCGCAATGCGCTTTTGCGTATCTTGCGCCGCTTTGCTTATACAATTAGTCTTGCGTTGACAACCGCTTTTCCGCTTATGGTGATAATAACCCGTTATTTATCCTAACCAGTCTCCTTTTTTGCATACTGGAATGTTAAGTGGTAATTTATTTTTTCTAAACACTTAGCCATATCGTGGACTATTTTAGATAGTTGATATCAGATCTGGAAAGAGCTTGACAGATGTTACGCTATTAACCTTGACCAATTCAGGATATGATGAATTAAAAAAAAAAAAAAAAACTTCAATAGTTACCGTAAGTCATCATCTGATTTTAAACAATATTACTTCATAGATATGAAATTTTCAATATTAAAACAAATAATAATTTTCTGTGACTATTAATAATGCCTGGTTATAAATAATTAAGTGAGAAATAAACAGTTGTACTAATCATGTATTTTTGATCTTTGGCACTAAACAATTAATTTTCAATATGTTTTACAAATTTTTATTTTGTTATGAATACTAATACTAATACTTAATTACTAAAAAAAATAATCTATATATCATTTTGTGTTTTTGATACTCAATAAACGTAATTTTCAAACAAATAAATAAATGATCAATTTTTCCTGAACTACAGAATTAGTTTTAAAAAGTTATAATATTTATTTCTACAATACTATAGCAGTTATAGTAGAAAACATTGTAGAAACCGACAATACAATATGGGCCGAAGGTCACCAATAATAAACGTTTCTGCTTCTCGAGCCATTTGCAAAATTCTGCAAACAAATTTTAATTTAGTAACATAAAAAAATGACACCAAATCAAAAAAAAAAAAAAAAAAATACAAGAAAATATTATTCTCGCCATATTTTCTACCCATCCCGGTGAAATTTAAAAATATATATCTCTTAAACTACTTACAAAAATAAAAAATATTATTAAATTCAACCGTATTTAATTTCTTCAGCATCGAAGGATATAAAATTAAATTTTTTTTTTTTAATCTGTTTTATTGAAACCTATGATTTTGATATGAAATTTCATAACAATCGACCGAGCAGTTTCGGAGTATATCCGAGGTGATGGACGAACAATAGTTTTTCTATTGGATTTTCGACATCTACGTGTCGTCAATCGTAAAACCATAAATTTTGAAGGGGGTTTAGTATCTGTTTTTCTTAGTCTATTGCAATGGTTCATTGTTGAAAAAAATAAACCAAATATTAATTCTATTAATCAATTTATTAATTTTTTTTCCATTAAATGTTTAATGGACTGTTGAAATTTGTTTAACCATGGACGGAATCAGCATCTGATATGAACATAAATATTATGAATTAGTCGTAAAATTTATTTTATAAAAGTCTATTTTGTGTTATCATTTCTTAATGAATTTTAAAATTGTCTGCTCATTATTCCGAAATTACCACTCGCAAGTTTCCCCGTTCCGCTTCTTAGGTTTTATACGGTGGCCGTTGTACAAGAGTGAGTGCCTTCAGTCACGTTTTTAAACTTCTACATGAATAGCTGAATCTATTTAAATATTTTACGACGCTGCCTGCTCACCTCAGCGGCAGATATACGAACCAAGGAAGCTACAACGTGGTTAGCCTCACTATAGCTAATCAGAGGTGGACTCGAGTCAACAATGGGGAGTAAACATGACCACAAAGGTGGAACGTGCCCCAGCTCCGATATATGGCAGGATTATGGGCGCCTATGTGGGTGGGTGTCTTGTCAATAAATATATTTATATTTATTATATTATGTTATGTAATATATATTGTGTCAGCTTTATCATTTAAAGTCATGTAAATATGTTAATTAATATATTTGTATAAGTTGATAATAATTTGTTGAATAGCTTATAACAGCATTGTTGTCATTGTGTGATGTACGTTGTATAACCGCAGATAGACAATTCTTCATTAAATTAGGGCAAAATAAAAG